CCTTGCAATAATGAAGCATTACAAGAGATGGATAGATTGAGAAATTCTAGACCACCATCAGCTTCATAAATTAGAAACTAAAAAATGTTAATTATGTTAATAAAAAGAAACTAAAATAAAATTTTTCTTTGTTGACCTAAGTAGGAATAATTTTTTTTTATATTACTTGTTTTAGATCATTTCATTCCTAAGGATTATGAGTGGCTAAGAGCAAATATTATTTCATACAGAAGATACCATTTATCTAGAAGATAAGGTCTCAGCACATTGTCCATTCGCGGTTTGTTGAGGTTTCTTACCTTCCATCGATCATTCAATAACCAGGTTTTAATATTACTAAGACCAAAAGCCTTAATAAAATTTCCACAAGTAGCAACAATTTTTTAAAACTATTTGTCGAAATATTCAGGAAGATTTTTGTGTTAAAAGTGCTGCGGTTTCAGAGTGTTGTATGTATTGCTTTTCTAGGATTACAATTTATTGTTGAAACTAACCTATTGAAGTCGATATGCGTTTGTAGTAATGAATTGCATATACTAAAACTTGCTTAAAAATTACCCTTTTGCCGACATCAGTAATTCTCTTGTGTCTGCCTTTAATCTGAACTATAGCTCTTACCATTCTTATTTCCTTATAACAAGCTTTCCAAAGTTCTCTAAATGAATGAGGATGACACTGAAAGTTTTAACAATGTGGGTGTACAAGTCCACTGGAATAAGAAGATTAAAATAAGATAATATAAAAAGGAAGAAGTATACATTATTTATTCATTTTTCATATGAAGTTTACCGTTGAGCAAATGTCTAATTTGAGTTTCTGTCCTATTGTATCCACATTCCGTCCCCCTCAGAACTGTGAGTTGGTTTCATTTACCCTTAATTCCTGGCATAGCTACAGTTGTTGTTAGACGCATTGAATGGCTTGGCACATCAGTTGCGTTTTCAGTTGAGACTGGAATGTAAAAAGATAAGATGAGACAAGTCTTCTACTTTTCTGATTTATTCGGTTGTTTTTAATAAAATGATAAATTAATTGTTTATAATAAAGAAATAAAAAAGAAGTTTTGATGTTTTGAATTTTCTATGAAAGAATTATGACTAATAGTCCCTGCCAATTTTAAGGTAATTGGTATTAAGATTACAAAAACTTCGATATTCGCCGTTACTAGTGGTATTAAAAAAATATTCCTGATATCGGTAATAAAGGTAATAGATAAATATTGCTTTATTAAAGAAACTGTATTAAAAATAAAATCAAAGTTTATTTTTTATTTTATTAATTAACATTTCTTATTAAGGTAGAGATTAAATTAAAAAAAAAGGGTGGCTGTAATCAATAGTAACTAAGATTCTTAGAAAATTTTATTCGAAGTTTCATTTACTTTTCAGTGGCCGACTGGATAAGCCCACTGAACACCGGTATTTCGGCTCAGGTCCAAATTCCGTCAGACGGGGCGGATTGTATGAGTGCTTTATAATTTTTTCTTCATATATAACGTGAAAATAAGTCAATTTCTCTTAGAAAATCTTCTCCGAAGGCACACATCTATGACAGATTGCCTTCGCCTGCTTTTTCTTAATCAATTAAGCAAACCAAATCGAAACTTATTTAATTAACGATTTAAAAATATTTAATATTTAAAATGAGATAAAAAAAAACTGATTTAATGAATGTGGATTTAACTATTTTCCCCATTAAACGAGTTACTGCCATTTTTCTCATAAAAATAAAGCTAAAAATATTTGTTTAGGGAATACTTTAACTCGTTTTAATAAACTGTAAAAAGAATTGAAAATTTCTCTCATTTCAGCTGTTAAAATATAAATTTGAAAGAATTTGCCAATTTTCGAATAATAGTATTCTTTACGTGTATGAGCTCTGTTCACGAGAAAGTTAGAATTAGCTTCGCTTTAAACACTGGACAGTTGTTCTTTTTTCATCAAACTTTTCGAATAAACTGTAAGAAAAAATAGATTGTTTAAAATCCAGAAAACTATTAGACATATGAATATCGAACTGTATGGAAACAAAATCTAAAACTCTATGTATTTAATCCCTTTAGCCCTTTAAGTTTCGCATTTTCAACTGGCGAATTCTGTAAGCAATTTACTTAAGGGTCATCAAAACACTCAGTAAATCAATGAAATCATCAAATGCTCAACTAGTAATTCCTTTGAAAATCAGGAGTTTTTATTAAGATATGCAGTCAAAAGCCATTAATCGTTATCAGAGAAACAGTGAGAAAGACTATTTGAAAGTTGAGAAGAGATTTCACAGTCATATAACTTTCGTTTATGTTATTTTTGGTCAAGAGACTGAAATTTCTGTAGGAATTAAAATATTAAACTGATGAAGAAATATTAAAGCTTTGCAAAGTTGATTTAAAAATTAAGTAAAGTGTATGAAATGAAAGCACATTTTGGTCATCAGATTTCGGTATCAGAAATTTATTCTAAACATTAATTTATTTAATGTTTAGAATACATTTCTGATTTTTTTCTAATTTATTTATTACAATTTTTTTATATATATATATTTATGTGTTTGATCAAAAATCTGTTTTTTGTTTAGCAACCATGACAATAAGTGGGAGGTTTAAATTGGTGACATATGGCAAACTCTTGTTTACTAATGGTTTCTTAACTTCTTGTTTGTTTAGATTATCTGGCCTTTAAACTGAAATTCTTAATCTAATAAATATTTTTATAATTTTTTTATTCTTAAAATCATGTAAGCTTCATTAATAACTGTATTTGTTATATTAAAAAAAAAGAGATGATTATATAAAATGATTATATATCATCTATAATGATTTTTACACTTGCTTGTAAAAATCATTATAGATGATATCTGTGAGGTATTTTTTTAAAGAAAAGAACGCGAGAAAGAGTATCATGTGCAAAGGAAAGTCGTTAGAGCAATTTTTTACGAAATTCTCTAGGCATAACCAAAATTATTATCCTTACTCAGGGAGTTAAAAAAAAGTCGGGTTCGGAATTTGAATATCACCGTTTTGTGCATTTCTCACTTAAAGATGCATCAAGAGTTAACATTGACAGTTTTGCGGTACATTTTAGAACGTTATGTTAAGAGGTTTGTGTGGGCATGGGAAATCTCTCGCTTTAAAAGGGCCCTTTTCTGTTATCAGTTGAATGGAAGGGTGGATCGAGCATTCATAAATTTTCTTTTTTTATTTTAATTCCTTTATGGCCCCTTCCCGACCTTTTATTTATTCGAGTTTCCGCCAAAAGCCTTCTTCTACCACATCTTTTTCACATTATGCTGCCAGTGAGAGAGGAGAGAAGGCTTTAAAAAAAATAACTTCAACTCCCACCGTCGAAAAAAGAGAGAGCAAAAGACGGTGCACAAAAAGCAGCGTGCATCGCAAATGGAACTCGCGCACAATGCACCTCAGACGCGAAAACTCGGGTACCACATAATGAACAACGAAAATGCTAAAAAGAGAAAATGCACGGAACAGGAAAAAGTTTGGCCGGCAACGGAAGGTATTGTTATGGCAGTTCCGACGCCGCTGAAGTGGCATGGAAAAAGCAGCCACTTCGATTGGCGGAAACCTGCAGATGCCAGCTCCTCGCCTATTGGATGCTCCGAACTAGCGGGGCGTGCGACGGGAGCGAACCACCGCGAAGCGCCCTTTTGCCATGGCCGCAAATGGGCGACACACACCTGCGTCTTTTCTAGCTCCTCTTTTCCTCCCACCCCGTGGGGGCTAATTTGCAGAAGAGTTCCCTTTTTTCGTGTCCCCTTCTGAAACTCAGTTGAATTCTGAGAGCCTCCCAGACTTACACGCTTTCCTCTTGTAGCTTACGCATTTTTGCTGGTGAATAATCTTTGTAGTGGAAAAACCAGACCACGCCGAATGAATGGGGCTATTCTAGTGAGGGAGACTTTAACATCCCCTTCGAGCGGCACTTCTGGAAGTAGCATCTGCTGGTCAGAAATTTTTCCTCGGGGTTTTGTGTTTCGCGTATACGCGACGAGAGCATTTAAAATAAGATGTCCGGAAAGTAACTTAGCTGTCCGCAACTGAACAGTTCATTATTCAAGAAAAATAGCTCCAAGAGAATCTTTAACCTGAGAGATCTAATTTGGGGATTTACAAGAATCCTATATCAATATAAAGGTTTTAATATAAAGACTGAAGAACTAAACCTGTTGCAGAACTGAACTCTGTCTGGCTAATCCTTAACAGATCAACTTCCTAAAAGTTTTGTTGAAGTTCATTTAAGTACAAAATGAAGAAACACTTTTATTAGCAAGTAAATATTTATTTTCGAATGATCTTTAAAAAAATATTCATGCACCAGAAAAGATTTTGCCTGAATATAAAGTTATGAGAAAGTTAAAAGTGTTGTAACAGGAAAAAATTTCCCTTTCCGTCATATCATCATGGAATCAAAGGTAGAAGGAAAATGTTCAGTATGAGAAAAGTCTGGAGTTAGATGACTTTAAAAAAAAAAAAATTGTTTTTCGAAAAATAGAGTGTAAACTATATCGGTGACTGAAAAAGTAAAAGCATCGATTCACGTGAACATCCCGGTAAAAATTAAAGCTTTTAAGTTTCCTTTTGAAACAGAGTTATCTACATTTCACTGACAAAAACCTATGCCAGTGCTATGATAAAAGAAAGAACTTCCTACCTATTCGCACAAACATTTGTACACCAGTTAGTCTAGTACTTATTATTCTTATTTGCGATCAATTTGTTAAGAATTTAGGCAAACCTTATTTATCATATAAAATTCAAGCTGTGGTAAGCAACTGGCAAGGTACTCTAAATAAATTCAGTTTGATTTACTTCGTAATTTAACTAACTGAAGAGACTAGCTTGTTTATTATTTACGAAATGCAAGATATATGGAATGAACATAATCTTCAGGCGAAATGTAAGCATGTGAATGCAAAATCAGTATTCTTGTCTGATGAAATAAGAAAGACTAATTCCATGTTGATCAAAGTTGTCTGTTCTTCTTTCATAGACCAATTTCGAGTTCCGGTGAGAGTGTTCCACTATGAAAACGAATTGTTTGAAATTCTTCTCATGATCGCGAATGAAGCAGCTTCTTTGAACTTCGCTGTTATATGGAATTAATGGTGAGTTAATTTTTGTTACCCGCTTATATTTTAATTATGCTTTTATATTTTTTTTTTTTTTTTTTTTTGGTTTATGTAGTTTGAGATCCATCCATACTCCAGGCTAAAGCTCGTAAGCGCATTTTTGTGTCAGCATTTTTGTTTTAATTTTTCATATTATTTTTTTCACATTCTAAAATATGTTAAAAGAAAGAAGCGTTTGAAAAACTGAGTTTACGTTTAAGTATCTGTCCCCCCCCCCGTATGAAAACACAGATACATCCAAATACATCTGGATATTTTTCCTCCTCAAAACCCATTTTGAACTGAAAAGTTTACTTGTATATTGGTAATTTTACTTGCGTATTGATATTTTGATTCGAAATACTCTTAGACAATGAGCGTTGCTCTGTTATTCGTTAAAGAGAAATTGACTAAAAGTAGCATATCGTTTATAAATATGTTTTTAATGTCTCATAAAACCCAAAAGCAATTTTACCTTGAACAATTTGTACTTATTTGATGCCAACCTTTTCCTTCTAAACCCATTGCAAATTCGATCAATATTAATTGTTCTGCTTTTTAAGGTATTACTACATTATGTAATCGACAAGAGCTCTGAGTCTGATGAAACTGTCGGCCACTGAATGCTTTGTTATAATACTAATCAACTTAACGTAATTTAGTTAATTCTAACAGTCTGAAAAAGTTTCTTACTTTTTTTGCAAAAGCAAAATTTATTTCTTATATTTAGATGCAATGTGCGTTAAGATAAAGTATGCAAAAAAGATTAGGGGAAAAGTTATGAAACTGGCTTGTAAGGAAAATTCGGTAACTAATATTGCAATATCATTGCATTAAAATAACGAACTTAAGTTTTAGTCTAATAGATATTTAATCGAAGTTTCAGCTTTTATTTTTGATATTTATTATTTTATTGATATTACTGGAATTTGACAAAGCAATTCTTTTTAAAATTCTTAAATTTTTAGGCAAAGAAAAATTTATTGTTTTTCGTAAAGTAATTTAAACAGCTTCTAGAAAAAGTAGTTGGAATTTCCTATTACGTTCCATTTAATATCATTTAAATTTTTGATCAATTGAACATTTTTTAGTGATAGTAGAATTACAGTTTCAGACCTTTAAAGAAATTCTGCTTTATTTGTAAATGCATTTACCCCTCTTTTCCACAGTTTTAGAAAAATACCTAAAAAAAAAAAATATGGTTTAATTGAATTTAGCTTTTGAAACCTTTAGTTAACTTCTATTTTGCATTCTGTGGTAGTTTTAATGTTAAAAATCCAGAGAAAGTGTGTTAGATCCGCATCGTATATAACAGGCCCACCAGCGGCCGAGCGGTAAAGTCGCTGAACACTGGTAGTTCGGTCCGAGGTTCGAATCCCGCGAACGGGCTGGCTGCATGGGCGTTTTCGTGGTTTTTCCCCACGTGTAATCGTGCATACCGAGCAAAGTTTCCCTTAGAAAGTCCTACACGAAAGGCATTCCTCCCCTTAGGCAGATAGCCCTCGAGGCTTTGCCATAATCACACACACACACACTCATCGTATATAACAAAGTATGGAAAACAGTATTTATGTTGAACAGCAAACATATCATAAATAAATATAGTTATCTATAATTTAAAAAAAGCAATTCTTTGTATAACTTTAAGAAATTTGATGGAGTTTGGAAGATAAGCGTTTTAACATATTTTCGCTCTTTTCCGCCTTTTTTGAGGGGTGGGGGTGATATTTTGTAATGATGAATTAAAGGGCTTTAAACAAAACAAAAACACAATTGAATAAATGCACAATATATGTGGTATCAAAAGTTTATAATTAATCTTTTAATACTGTAGGACAATTGGTTTTGCGAGTGCGAACATATGCAAGTGCTTGTTAAGCAGCTTTTGTTAAAGTAATTAATTCAAAAAGTGCACTTGAAACTTTAAAAAAAAAAAAAAAAAAAAAAAAAAAAAAAAAAAAAAGCCTAAACTAATGATGTTATTTTATTTATTGTCAAGGACGTGGTTCGTTAAAAATTTGAGACTAAAAAAAGGATTAAGTTAACTACCTGGACTTATAAAAATCAACGTAAAATTTTTCTTTTGCATAACTGTTTTAGGGAACTGGATACACGAGCTGCTAGTATAATGTATACATCAGTCGTACTTCATTAAAATTCAAGCATATTTACTTTTTCTTTTCTTGCTCACCCTTTAATTTAAATTAAAACAAATCTTATTGAATTTTAAATAATGGCAATAATTTATAAAACATCGATATTAAAAGATCCAACAAAACCAAATCAAATCTGTCCAAACAAAATATTTTGCTCAAAAAATATTGGAAAGAGGAGTTTTAGTGTATTCTTTTCAATAAATAAATATATGATAATTCAATATATAAATTTCAGATTAAAGCGTAACGCCTCGAAAAATTTACATTAAAGTTTAAGGGTACATTTTTTAAAAATTAAAAATACAAAAATTATAAAATTAAAAAGAAATTGTAATCTTTTCTTAATGTGCAGCTCTTAGTTTAAGACTAGAAACAACTTTAAACTAAGCATTACGATAGGCGCACTTTTAAGAATTAGTCACTCAAGAATGAAAGGAGCAAAAAAACTAAATTTAAAGTGAACTATTCAGAAGTACAGAAGAGAATGGTTAAAAAATTACCTTGATATTATTTCATTGCGAATTAACGTCGAGTGGAGACTTTTGCACTTGCTTAATAAAAAATAATTTAATTATTCAAGACGAAGAACTTGCGTTTATTTCACTGGATAAGCTCAAGGACGAAACTCGCAATAAATATTTTCCTCGAAGTAGTAATGTTTTTTGTTTCGCAACGGCAGGAATTCCGCTTTCTGAAAACAATAAAGACCTCTTCGAAGTGCTAAAAAATTTTGTAACTATCTTAAAATTCAAATTTAAGTTAATGGAATCAACGTATAAAGGAAGTACACATTATATTCTTAAATCTTTACTTTAGTTTATTGAATGTTTTTACCATTTTTAATGTAGAGTTTTTGTGTATGAAAAGTAAAAGTCTTCAGGCTTGAAATGTAGAATCTATTTTAAATGGTTTCTTGTAACTAATACTGAATGAATACCGTAAATTATCTCAAATTTTAAACATTTTAAGAAAGGTGAACAGAGAACAAGCCTTTTTCAATCTTCGAACTGTGAAAACTTTAAATTAAGTTTTAGGATGACATTTAAAAATTGAATTTAGGTCATAAGAATCTGTTGTTGATTAGTTGCCTGGCAGAGTAATTTTCTTCATTTGAATTCGATTTTGAAGATGATTCATATGTATATGTATGTATGTATGAATATCATTTTCCATGTGTAATGAGCCCACCAGCCGCCGAGCGGTAAAAGTCGCAGAACACTGTTAGTTCGATCCGAGATTCGAATCCCTCGAACGGATTGGCTGCATGGGCGTTTTTGTGGTTTCCCTATGTATGTTTCCCTATGTATGTATGTATGTATATGAATAAGTTTCCCTTAGAAAGTCCTCTACGAAGGCATCCCTTTCCGTAGGCAGACAGTCCGCGAGGCTTTGCCGTAATTTCATAAACCAAACCAAAAGCCATATGTAATGAAAAGATTGTTCTTGTTAAATATGCAGATACGTTTAAGCATTTCATACGAAATACAATCAAACCAAAATCACACAATTTACACAAAACAAGGTGACACATGTTTTTTACATTTCACATAAATGAAATGCAGTGAAATGTAAAAATTTCAAAATTAATTTTTCAAAAATTCTTTATAACAGCCTTAAATTAATTTATTTGTAATGAAGATCTTTTTGCAAGAACAGGAAATGTTGCACATCGTCGTGTAATAAATAAATATTGCGTCTTCCTAGTGAAATTCTAATATTAATTACTTTTAATTCGTCTATATATTTTGCACGCGCTTGACATATTTGTCTACTGAAGCATAAAGAATATTATTAATAAAAGTTCGGAATTTAATTACTGTCCATTTGCTAGCTAATGTATTTGAAGCTTTGTTGCTTATAGTTTTATAAGTGCCAAAAGTAAAAAACTTCTAATCATTGGCCTAGAGACATTAGCATCGAAATGCGATTTTTTTTTTTTTTTTTTTTTTTTTTGGTGGAGGCATATTACTTCATTTAAACATATACTTGGTAACAGAGGCTCGGAATTAAAAATATATATATACAAGTGTACTTGATTAAGTAATATTCAAAAAGTGTAAAATAAACTGGATAATATTTTCCCTATATTATTGATTTAAATAATATTCCGTAACTAATAACTAGGAGAAAAATTATTGATTTAGATGCATCTTAATTAGTAAAAGTTCCCATTTATCTGCTTAAAGTGTTTTGAGAATCTTTTGTTTTGCAGTTTGATATTAAATAAGAGTTAATAAAAACAAAGATGTAAAATTCTTGAATTTTCTGCAAGCAACTGTGGGATTGCAAAATAATTCTTTAATTAGAGCTTTTCATATTTATTTTACCTGTGTTAATTTAATGAAATTTCATAATATATTCTACTTCTATAGGATTTCTTTTTTAGATCTGTGTTGTCTCAGAGTATAACTTTACTTTGTAAATGTAAACTATAATTTTACAAAATCTGACTATGAAAGAAATGTATGTATAGTAAGAAAATTTAATTTTGGAAGAATCTGGAGGTGTTTTTCTTAAATTAGTTTTTATAAAGCAAGCAGTTCTTTAAAAATACAGCAGAGCTTCAGTTGTTCGAACTGCGAGCACAAACTCCCGTATTACTGGTAAATCCCAAATAACATATTCCTTTTGTTCTCTCTGTAGGCCAAATACGTGTTATAATAGATAATCCAGGGTGAAAGGATTTTATTTTTCTCTCTATTTCTTGTTTTGCTTAAATAAAGATTATGCGATTAAAAGAAATAAAACAGACGGACATTATTTACATTTTCAATTATATATATATATGAAATGAAGTATCTTAGCATATTTAAAATGGAATCTTGAACATACTTAAAATGG